ACTTGCCAGTCCAGCAAAGCATGCTACCAAAGAATTTGGCTTAAATGTGATGAGTGCAAATCCCATAATGATCAGCAGACAGTTCTAGAACCACTCACAGTTGGAGGTACATATTGAAACCTGAGCCTAGGGCTCAAGCTATAGCAGCAAATCAGGACTCCTCTCCGTACTACATAAAAGAACTCTCTCCATTCCTCACCACACTTCTGGTTTCCTCTCTAATGCTTTTCCTTTGGCTTATTAAAATCACTTCCATCTTAGTAGAATGAAATCTTGAGAGCATTCTCAATTTGAGGACAGTGTTAGCTACAAGCTGCTCATTGAGCCCATGCTGTAGAGAATCTGGGGGCAATGCGCATCAGTCCTTTCAGACTAGACCTGCCCTCTGTGGATCTCGGACCAATTTCTTCTGCCTTAGGCAGATACTACTATTTGTTGCACTTTCATTATTGGAAATTGATCAGATTAACCTAAAGAGCCCACCTCTTCCTGGGCCCAGTGTACGTGTCCCTCAGACAAGCAAAAACCATTTTTGCTTGTGCTTTGTCACAGAACTTACAGACCCATTTAAGAGCCAAGTGCTTTGCATATTATGTCCTCAGAATAATTAAATGTTAATAGTGATAATACATGGGGTAATAATAAGGAAACTGGTGGGGGCAGGGGCAGTATTTCAGAGAGAACTGATACAGTTTGTCTGTTGGAACAAACAGTTATTGGAAAGCCCTGATAAGCTGCCTCATTTGTCTGGGGCAAACTAAAAATAAATAAATAAACAAACAAACAAACAAACAAATAAACCAAGACTTAGTATAGATATGTAACAGTCAGCTGAAAATATTTCCCAAAACTCAATCCAATTTTCTATGTGAAACCCAAGCAATTTTTCAAGAAGCAAAGTCTCCCTTTTTTAAAAAAACGATTTTATTTATGTATTTGTCAGAGGGAAAGAAAGAGGGGAGCATGAGCAGGAGAAGAGGCAGGCAGAGGGAGAAGCAGGCTCCTCGCTGAGCAAGGAGCCAATGCAGGACTCCATCCCAGGACCCTGAGATCATGACCTCAGCTGAAGGCAGATGCTTAACCGACTAAGCCACCCAAGTGTCCCACAAAGTCTCTTTTATTAAGCAATAGTACTGTATTGTCTCCTTCCACTAGAAATCAAGCTCACTGATCATAGGGACTTTGTTTGCTACATTCCCAGTGCTTAGAACCATATCAGGCATACTGGAGTGCTTAATAAATATTTGCTGAATAAATGAGTGAATGCATCTAAAGGAAGTAGACAAATAGATGAATTTTCCCCAGTTTTCTGTAGAAAGCAGGGTGTTCTCTACTTCTTTATCATACATATAATGTATGATAATAAAAATCCAAGGGGTTTCACAAGGATCTCACACTTTCCCTGGGATGAGTCTTCCAGATGTCTGGGAGATTGTGGAAAGACTACCGAAAGCTCAGTTGGTTGGCACTAACTCTACAACTTCCATGTAGCCCACATAACGGTAGGCATGAAAACAGTGAAAGGATAAGACCTCAGCAGGCAACCCAGGAGGCTGCTAAGTGGTGTTCCACAGGGAGTGGGCTTCCCGACTTCTACAAACTAGGGGAGTCATTTTTAGTCTGCACTCAATCTGGAAGACAAAAACAAGAGATCAAACCTGACTCGTCCCGCTGTAGTGTGGCAGAAACAAACACAGGCCACAGAGGAGAGGAGCAGAGTGGCAGTGCAATATAACAAGGAATTGTTGCCTAATAGAATGAGTATCTGCGGGTCACCCAAGGAGAGCAGCCACAGCTGAATACAAGAGTTGATGAAGACGAATTTGCCATTGGAGGCAGCACCACATCATCATGAGCACTCAAGGCTAAAGGACGGTTAGGGCTACCTGCCATCATCTGGCACGTGAAATGTAGACAAGATTGGCCTGTGGAAGTGCAGAACCCACCCCAAGATTGAATCACTTTCCCAAGGGAGTTGTATTCCCGAGTCCTCAGAGTCTCAACTTCTATTCTTCACGTCCCTGCTTAAGCATCCAAGAGTTTTCTTCTTAAGAACACTTCCAGTGTTCTGTGTTCTCAGACAATAACATTCTACCCTGAAAGAAAAGAAAGGCACCATCCCTAAGCAAACCTCTATGACAAAAAGCAGCTTGAAACACAGAGGAAGAGGATTATTTAAAAAAAAAAAAAAAAAGTCTAGCTTCTTTAGCTTCAATTGATGAGGTGTTAGAAGTCAATATGAGAGCCTGACAGTATCGTTGGTTACCATTTACACATATAAAACCATATTTTATGTAACTATCAGAAATGGGTTCTCATTTTATTTTATAATTAGGAAACAGGGCATTGTTAATAAACTCTTTTGTTGTCTTTATAAAGGTTCTAGTTAAAGAACTCCTCAAGACATTTTGGATTGCTTGAACTCGGCGAGCCAACGCTGAAGATTTCTGGCAAATCCTGATTCTCAGTAAGCAGAACTCTGGAGAGAAAGTGGCTTACTCTATGCTTCTATATGGGTGTACTACGTGTTATATACAAAATGTTGTCTGCCATTTAGCAGAAGGGTAATTTGATAAGAACCAAGATAATTTAAAAACAACACAAAACTGTATACTCTGCAACAGACTAAATCTTATAATCTGGAGTAGCAGAGTTCTCAGACCCCCAGACCAGAAGCCTTGGCATCCCCTGGGAACTTGTTAGAAATGCAGGCTCCCAGAACCCACCCCAGACTTCCTGAATCTGCAACCTAGAAACTCTGGGTTTAGGGCCCAGCAATCTAGATGTTAATAAGCCCCCAGCTGATGCTGATGCCCTGAAGTCTGACCTTCATTGTCTCAACCCATCACGCCTCCAGAGCCTCAGAGTAGTCCATTTTGAATATACCCAAATGTCACTGCAATTCCTGAATTATGCTTCTTTTCATCACTAGGTCCTTTGATTCACGACCTATAGCCTGGTCCTCAGACGACATGGTTTCCCTGTTGGCAGCCACTCACAGCTCTCTACCAGAATATCTGCTCCCTGCTCTGCCCTCCTGGGTCCTTCTACTAGTGTGTTTGTTGGTCATGCTGAGCTCTGCAGGGGTGCGGGGTTTAGCCTCAATTGCTCTGCTCATTCACTGTTCAGAGCTTTCTCGACATCTTCTAGAGTAGCCGAAGGTCCCTAGGGACAACCTCCATGTTCCTGTCCTAGAACTGCCAGTGGGATTATTAAAACACAGTGCCAGATCAGGGAAATGCAGAACAAAACCACAATGAGACACCACCTCAGACCGGTTTCATTCATACGTGGAATCTAAGAAACAAAACAGATGAACAGAGGGGAAGGAAAGGAAAAATAAAATAAGATGAAAACAGAGAGGGAGACAAACCATAAAAGACTCTTAATCATAGGAAACAAACTGAGGGCTGCTGGAGGGGAGGGGTCAGGGGTTGGGGTAACTGAGTGATGGGCATTAAGGAGGGCATGTGATGTAATGAGCACTGGGTGTTCTATGCAACTGATGAATCACTGACCTCTACCCCTGAAACTAATAGTACACTACATAATATCTAAATTGAATTTAAATAAAGAATTAAAAAAAAAAAAACAGTGCTGGGCCCCATCTCAGAGTTTCTGATTCAGTTGGTCTTGCATATAGCCGGAGAATTTGCATTTCTAACAATCTCCTAGTTGAAGTTGTTGCTGTTGTCTGGGGATCACATTTTGGGAATCACTTGAAAGCCGACATCACTAACTTATTTGAGAGTGAGTACCTAAAAAAAGAAAAGAAAAGAAAAGAAAAGAAAAATCAACCCAGACCTGCCCCTTCCCCAAATGACCGTTCTGTGATATTTCCTAAGAAATCCTAAGCATTCATCAATTAAGTCAGTGTATTTATTTTCACTGGTAATTAAATTCTGCTTACTTCAAAAAAAAGTTCTGAGGTAACCAAAGTTACCTATCAGCAGAAACAGTCAATTTACCCAGTGAGCTCAGAGAAATGCTGTTCCTCTCCGGGGGAAATAGCGTACTCTGTTACTCCTCCAATCTGCTGGCCTTGGCCCTGACTCTGATTCTCTCAAACTAAGGTGGAGTGGGGTGGGGGTGGGGAGCCAGGGCTGAGAAATTTTGCTGTCGTGATCACGACAGAGGTAGTGGAATAGGGGAACAGAACAGAATCTTAGTTTTGAAAAGAAAGTGGGATGGGATATTAATAATCCCACCAATGACCGAGACAATTAACCCCCACCACACACACCATCTTAAAAGGGAGGCCCTCACTTCCCCATCCTTCCCCACCCCTTCCCCCAGGCCAAGCCAGAAATAGAACACCACTGGCCTCTCAGGGACATTCCCTCTGCCTCATCTCCAGAGGCCACATCGGCTGCTCCCAGAACAAGCTCTGTTCTCACAGCTGCACAATTCACTGCTGAAACCCTAATCCTGAGAGTGGAGCTGGAGCCAGACGAGAGAAAATGCCAACAGGGCAAAAGCCTCTTTCCAGATCCCAAATGTGACTCTGCAGCCCTCAAAATGGCAACCGCTGCTTGCCGGCCCCAGCCAGGTCCCTGGTCCACAGCCCACATCGGGAGCCCACGGAGACATGGGGAGCTGCTGAGGAAAACCACATGGAGGCCTGTGCTTTTTGCTTTCCTGAGTTCGCTACTCCACGTGGGGGTGGAGGGATCGCTCTGTGAAGGCTATTTGGAGGGGGCCCATGGCATGAGGTCATGCATCACTTGCTGGCTCCTCCCTGTGAAAGCAGAGAGTCAATATCCAGCCTACCCTAGACACAGGCCACCTCACCCTGCTGATTCAAGTGTCAAAGGTCCTGGGGGAACAGTATTCAAATGCCCCTGCTAACTGCCTTTTGTACCTCACAGTGGTTCCTCAGGAGCATAAAATAGAAGAAGTGAAACTGAACATTCACCCCTGTAGCAGGGGAGAGGACAAGCGCTGAAGGCCCTTAGTTTGGGGCCCACTCTTTTCCTGTCAGTCACACGCAAGGCCTGGCCATGAAGGGTTTCACGGCGGCCCTCCTCGTCGGGAGTCTCTTATCTCTGAGTCGCAGTAGCAACAAAGCCTGGCCCCCACACACGGTCTGCCGGGATGGGAACCTGGAAGTGCTCTACCAGAGTTGCGGTAAGGTCTTTCAAAAACGTGGTCGTTTGTGTTTATGGGGAAATGAAGGCCCGCAGATGGGAGCTGTGGAAGCATTGAGCTGGGGTGGGGAAGGGGTGAGATGACCAGGACCCAAATACTTTCTCCACTTGCAGTGGGCCTGCAAGGCCATTGAGAGCCCTTGGGAGAAGGAGAGGTGTGGGGTGGGGAGTCGGAAAGAGCCTGAAGAGGGCCACAAAGAAGACAAGAAAAAGGCATTGAGTCTAAATAGAGCAATTCACTAAAACTGCAGAGCCAGAAAAAAACCAAAATGACTGAGGAGTCTACCAAATCATGAAACCTCGTTAGCTCAAAATTAAGAAAAGATGCTTCCATTAGTCACCACCACCCCTAACTGTATACCTGGACTACCTTTCCAGGTTATTGATTTTGCAAATTGAGTGAAAAGATCACATATATCAAAAGAGAAGGTTTCTGTCCTTCCTGTGACATTCCTAGGGTAGCATTGCTCATTCATTAATTCAGCACTTACCTTGTGGCTGTCAATGCCAGGGTTTTTTCTAGGGCCAGGCATAACCGAAGAGTATGAGCCATGGTTATTACCCCAATGGGGCCAACGTCTTTACCAACAAACCGTACAAGCTAAGGAATTTAGAATGCAGGGAACTGTTGCAGTAGGTGTTTGAACCAACACTTTGGAGTATATGTTGGTCTACAAGGGCTGTTAGAGCGGAGTACCACGGACTGGGGTCTTAAACAACAGATATTTATCTTCTCAGTTCTGGAGGCTCCAAGTCCAAGATCAAGGTGTTGGCAGGGTTGGTGTCTCCTGAGGTCCCTCTCCTTGACTTGTAGATGGCTGTCCTCCCCCTGTGTCCTCACTTGGTCTGTCCTCTGTGCCTGGCTGTGTCCTAATCTCCTCTCCTTATAAGGACACCAATCCTATTGGATTAGAGCCCATCCATAGAACTTCTTTTAACCTTAATCACCTCTTTAAAGACCCCATCTTCAAATAAAATCATATTCTAAGGTACTAAGGGTTAGGACTTCAACATATTAACTTGGTGTGGGGGGGGAGGAGGCACACTTCAGTCCACAAAGGGGGCTTGAGAGGGGAAAAATGAGCTCAGCTTTAGGATCACATCTTGAATGGAGATTAGAGGACAGGCTCATAGAAAAGCATGCCAGTGTGTAATATGGCACTTTGGAGGTAGACAGGAAGCAAAATGCAGTTTGGACTGAAGGAGTTGGAAAAGTGATACTCTGTCAGTATTTAAATTAGCCTCACAATAATCTGGGGAGCAGTGGAGATGTTGCACTTGAGCAGATAGCTGATCATGCAGCTGCCACCCAGGGAGTTGCCTTGGAGAGGCTGGTCTCTGGGGCCATTTGTCCAAATTGATTTTACTCTTTTAAAAACAAGGAACACCGAACACTGAAATGCACAAAAACTTTTTTTTTTTCCTAATGTAAAAGAGAATGAATGGCTAGATGCTGTAGGTATTGATCTCATTACTCTTGCTCTTCCCATGGGGATGGGATGCTTTCTGTTGGTATCTATGCATTGTAGGTGCAGGATGAGAAGCAAGAGTTGAGATGAATGGACTGTTCGGGAGTTGTTGTTCCAGTTCATCCTCCCATAAAAGGTTGCCATGGCTGGTCCCTCCCCCAGACCAGCCTGCAGCCTGCAGCCTGCAGCCAAGCCTGGCACAGGCTTTCAAGTCACTGCCAAGAAAGGCAAGAGAAGCGGATGCATCAGGAGAAAAAAAGCATATCACCGGACTCTGGGGATAACTCCTCCCTCCGGGGAGCTGCTCCGTGGAGTCAACAAATGTCAGCACAAGCCCTGCTCCGGCCCCTCAGAGAAAAGGGATGGAGGAGACACAGTTCTCATCAAAGAGTAGTGGGATCAGACAATTTAACAACAGGGTAAATGCTGTGTGTGAAGGGCCGGAACAGAGGCACATACCATGCACCAGGGCTCATGGTGGTTGGAAAGGGTGACCTTAGGGGTCTAAACCTGCCAGGGGAAGGGTCGTCAAGCTTGACCTTAACCTCAAAGAATGACAAAAAATAGTAATTATAATACCTTATGTCCGTGGAAGGTTTATATGTGCCAGGCTAAGTGCTTCCTATGCATTATTACGTTATGGATGTCTAAACGAGAGTTAGAGATGTCAGCTAACTCTTCCAAAGACACACAGGTAATAGTGGCAGAATTACATCCTGGGGGCACAGAGAAGGCACGAAGTAAATATCTCTGGAATTGAAATGACTTGATCCCAGGCCCGGCTGACTCTGGAGCCTGTGTTTTAATCTCCTGCTGTCTGGAGTTTCGTCAGAAGACCGGTGGATAGAGGTGAGGAATGGGAAGGGTAACTTGGCACAGAGAATGGCAAGTTGACAACAGGGAGATGTGACCAGGCATAGAGTTCAGGGGGCTGCAGAAGGGCTGAAACACAGAGACTGATTAGACATGAGGTAGGAAATGTGACAAGAGCCCAGGTGTGATGGTGAATTTGATGTGTCACCTTATTTGGGCCACAGGATGCCCTCGTTAAACACTTTCTGTGTATGACTATGAGGGTGTTTCTAGACATTAGCATTGAAATCAGTGACCTGAGTAAAAGCAGATCACCCTCCCTCCCCAGGGTGGGTGGTCACCATCCAATCTGTTGAGGGCCTGAGGAGAACAAAAGGTGGGTGGAGGGAGGAAGGATTCGCTCTCTCAGCCTGACCGTAAACTGGGACTTTGACCTGCTTACACCCCTGGCTATCCGGCTCTCTCGGATCTTCAGACTACACCACCAGCCTTCCTGGGTCTCCAGTTTGCAAATGGCAGATCATGGGGCTTCTCAGCCTCCATAATCATGTGAGCCAATATCTTATGATAAATCTTCTTTTATTATATATATTCTTTCTAATATATATTTCCATTGGTTCTGTTTCTCTGGAGAACCCTGACTAATACAGTAAGAGACGAGGTTGGGCTGCATCCCTTTGGCGATGAGGAGATTGCATTTGGAAAGATTCCCTCAGGGAATGGGTAGAAGAATGAATATTAGATTGAAAGCTATTCGAGGCCACAGCCAGGGTTTATAGCCTGTAGAATCAATAATCCAGGGGGTGCCTGGGTGACTCAGTCGGTTAGGCCTCTGCCTTCAGCTCAGGTCATGATCCCAGGGTCCTGGGATCGAGCCCCATGTCCTGCTCTCTGCTCAGCAGGGAACCTGCTTCTCCCTCTCCCTCCGCCCCTCCCTGCTGCTTATGCTCACATGCTCACTCTCTCTCTTTCTCTCTCTCTCTGTCAAATAAACAAATAAAATCTTTGAAAAATAATAATAATAATCCAGGAAAGAAATATGACAGGTCAAACTAGTATCATATCAACAGCCTCAACATCAGAAGGAATCTTTGATATACTCTGGTGTCAACAGAAAAAAAAGCAGTGTCTTAGAGCTTCTCTAAAGGTGGGTCCTGCCTCATCTCCTGAGAACCATTGAGGCATCAGGAACTGAATGGTCGCATACCCCTCCCCAGATGGAGATAGTCCTCCCTGTAGCAGCTGGATTCACAGCAGGGCAGCCCCCCACCACCCCACCCCTGCTCCCAAGGCTTTCACATCTATAACATAGAACAAAGGCCATGTGTTGAGACCCTCTATCCAACCCTGGCGTTCAGATCTCCTTCATGCATGTCAGGGTCTTCTAGAATCCCAACATGCACACAGATGTGGGGTCATCATCTGACAAAAATAAAATAAAGTAAAAATAAAGGATCTACTGTTTTCTGGGTTCATTTTTTCCTTCTTGTTTTGTTTTATAATTTTAGTGGCGGGGGGGGGCTCTTAGGCTAGACACTGTTCTAAATAACATAAAAATCCTTGGGGAGAAAGAAAGAAACTCACAAGCAGTTGCTGGTCTCTGAATACTGACCAGGAAGTGAGTACAATTTTCTGAAAAAGCAGAAATCCTGTTCTGTTCAACTGTTAGGGCTACAGTAAAGAGGGACAGAAGGGGGAACAAAGCAGCCTGGGGCCTTTCTTTTGCTAAGTCATAAGACAATTCCCAGGGCTAGCAAAAACCCAGGGACCTCACCCCGTTTACATGCCACAAATGTCCACCAATATATTTATTTATATGCTGCCTCTATCATACCAGCTCACAGGGTAGATTGCAAAATCCCACAGGATTGGGGGATGAAGGAGGTAGTGGGAAAGGAGCGGGAAGGGGGGGGATAATAAATCCAGGAGAAATCAGGACACATACAACTGATAAGGCAGTGTAAGAAGTAAGATCTGGGAGTCTGAGGTCAGCAAACCTCATTCCAGACCTTGGGCAATATTCTCTCTCCTGTCTTTGATTGCAAAGTGGGCATATGAGTTTTCTATGGATGCACTAATGGTTACCGCTTGGTGGCTTAAAATGACACACGTGTATTCTTTTAGTGTTCCAGAGGTCAGAAATCCAAAGGCAACTTCACTTAGTGAACGGCCACACTCCCTTGGAAACTCTAGGGGAGAATCTCTTTCCTGGCCTTTTCCAGTTTCTACAACTGCATTCCTTGGCTCATGGCCCCTTCCTCCATCTTCAAAGCCAGTAAGATAGCATATTGCTTCAACATCTTATACTGCTTTCTTCTATGCCAAATCTCCCTCTGCCTCCCTCTGATGGGGACACTGAGATTAGGATAATCTCCGCATCTCCAGATCCGTAACTTAATCCCATCTGCAAATTTCCTTTTGCTATATAAGGTGACATTGGCAGGTTCTGGGGATTAGGACATTCAGGAGCCATTATTCAGCCCATTACAATAGGGATAATAATTTTACCTACCTCTCAGGGCTATGTGAGGATTAAGTGAAAAGAACTGTATGAAAAGTGCATAGTACATACTTAGTACATAAATCTTTGCTGTTGATGACTTGCAAAATATTTTCTAGTCAATAGAGGTATATTTGATTATGAGCTTCCTTGAAGCCATATCAAACAAGGAAATTACATTGCTTGCAAAATAAAATC